CTCCAACATCCTTGCGCTTAGTGACTGTGCTGTGGTGATCTCTAATGATGCTGGTACAATGCAAGAGAAGAAATGAACATTTTTCAGGCAAAAGCTTTTTTTTTTTTTTTTGCACAAATCATGGCCATTCCCTTGGGAAGGGGTTAAAAATATCTTCTTTAACACTGCTGAGCAACATTCTAAAAGTTGGTACCCACTGAGAGCTACCAATGAGATAGCAATAGGTCACATTGTCAAGTACATACCTATCCAACTGGACATTACTACCTCTGCAGTTTCTCGAACCAAAAAATGCTTCTCTTCCAAATTATGCCACCAGAGTTGGTTATAATAAACAATTGGGTTCAAAGGGGATTTTTTAAATGTATTAAATTTATAGCTTCATTGACTTTTCACAACTGCAAAAGTGGTTTAAACAAACAACCACTTATCAACTATTAGCATATAGACATTCTTTGTTTAAACTGCTTTAAATCCACTGTGTGTGTGTGTAGAAATTAAGTGGAAAAAGCAATTTTATAACCATGTGGAATAACATAGACGTTGTACTTAAGTATTAAAGTTGGTTCTGAGTTTCCCTGGGCCCAGCAACGGGGAAAACAGAAGTTTTGTCTCTCTCGGTATAATGTTTGTCTGTTACAGGGCTTAGATTTCCCAAATATTGTATTAAGTCATTTAAGAAGAACTAAATTGCCAGAAATAGTAAAACAGGTTTCAAAGCCAATAACTGTCTACATATTAAATGCATTCTTTCTAACTCTCCTTTGATTAGGGATTAAAAAAGAGAGAGAGACATAACAGCTTTTTTCCTCACTGAAAATTACAAGTGAAATTTCTCACAGTTTTAAAAATTTTGATGACTATCATCAAAATTTGGGGACAGGATAGGAAGAAAGAGAAACCCAGAGACAGATTGAGGATATGGTTTTTCCCTCAGCCAAGCCTTCATAAAAAAGAACTAGCTATCAAAAGAAGTACTGTGTGCTTCCAAGGTTCCTCATGCAAAGGTCCTCTCTCTGCACAGGATGGGAACTTTGGATTTGAACAGCTGAACCACTCAACTTAGTCCGTTTCTCCTATATGCAAAACAAGGGACCTCCGAGTTCTAGAAAACTGGACACAGAGCTGAAGGACACAGTCTGTTGTCTTTCTGTGCCTAGAGCAGCCATGGCTCATGGTCCCAAGAAGCATCTGAAGTGGGTAGCAGCTCTAAAGCATGGGCGAATGGGTAAATTGGATAGTATATCTGCTCCTTGTCCATCCACTGGTCCCCACAAGCTGAGAGAATGTCTTCCTCTCACCATTTTTCTAAGGAACAGACTCAACTATGCCCTGACCGGAGATGAAGTAAAAAACATTTGCATGCAGCACTTCATTAAAATTGATGGCAAAGTCTGAACTGATATAACCTACCCCACTGGTTTTATGAATGTCATCAGCATTCATACAGCTGGAGAGAATTTCCATCTGATCTGTGACACCAAAGGTCATTTTTCTGTTCATTGCATTACACCTGAGGAAGCCAAGTCCAAGTTGGGCAACGTGAGAAAGATCTTTGTGGGCACAAAAGGAATCCCTCATCACGGTGACTCATAATTCTCAAATGATTTGCTACCCTGATCCTCTAGTCAAGATGAATGACACAATTCAGATTGATTTGGAGAGTGGCAAGATTACCAATTTCATCAAGTTTGATACTGTAACCTATGTATGGTGACTGGAGGTGCTAACTTGGGAAGATTTGGTGTCATCACCAAAAGCGAGAGAGACATCTGGCTCTTTTGTCGTGGTTTATGTAAAAGATGCTAATGGCAACAGCTTTGCCACTGGCTCTCCAAAATTTTTGTTATTGGCAAAGGCAATGAACCATGGATTTCTCTTCCCCCAGGAAAAGGGGTCCACCTCACCATTGCTGAAGAGAGAGGCAAGAAACTGGCAGCCAAACAGAGCAGTGGGTGAAATAAATGGTCTTTAGGTGCCATGCCTAGAGAGTAGAGATCTTTGTACTTAATTAAAGAAAATATAGCAGGATGAGAAAAGAAGGAAGAGGAGGAGGAGGGGAACACAGTCTGCTCTGCTCATTCTGCACAGCAGGGTCTCAAATCGCAAAAAAAAAAAAAAAAAAAAAAAAAAACAAACAAACCACAGACACCCTCATATAGCAGGCATTTATTTCCTTTCAACCTATGCTAAGGAATCTAAGAACCGCAGCCTGCAGCTTGCCACCTTGTGGAAAGGAGAGGAGGTGCAACTGCCTGATGGACCACCAACCCTCAGCACAAACAGGGAAGTCAAGCTGTGCTCAGGGGCCCAGGCTCCAAGACTCCATGTATTTGGAAATGTGGAGGTACTTCTGTACCTTCTCCAAGGGTCTCCCTAGAACATGTAGAGCAATATCCAAAAAGGGTTCTTATTGGACACACTATATCATTGTTGCAAAATCAACACGAAAAATCATGAACTTGGAATCAGTGAATCTATTTCTGCCACTAACTACTTCAGTGAACTTAAACAAGTCTCTTAATTCTTCAGGTCACATTTGCAACTGAGAAAGACAAAGTGCTATATAGGAGTTCATCTGGCTCTAACAAGGTGAATCTATCATTAGAGAGAATCTGCCTTCTCTCCAATCGTCAATGGCTTTCAGATTTCTAATCCCTTTTGTTCATCATCACCAAAGTTACCTGTGTAAGATACAGCTATGATCTTGTACCTCCTGTAACGGAGCTTACAAAACTACCCACAAGGGGCCCAGTTGCCTACAGCTCTTTGTCTACAGCTGTGCTCACTCATGCATTCATTATTCATTAAGGAAATATTTGTTGTGTATTCCCCACTGACCCCACGTCAACACTATCTCGGGCACATGAAACTACTCACTTTTCTCCTAACATTAGGCTTTCTTATACCTCTGACCTTTGCAGGTGCTCCTTCCTTTGCATGGAAAGCCTTTCCCTTATTTTCCTCCAAACCATTTCATATTCAATTCCTTTCTGACATTTCCCAGCAAACTGTCATCCTAATATTTTATATCTGATCATAGTATTTAGTACTCTGCTTTGAAATCACATAGGTACATATGTAATCATATAATATCTTGACACTCAGAAGTGTAATTATTTTTTCTCCCTGCAGTCCTTCATTTCTATACTTGAACTGATATCCAAGGGCTTTTTATGTATATGACTTGGGGTAGGGCAATTTCTGCAAAATGAGCAGAGAAAGGAAAATTCTCTGCACAGATTTAAACATCAAAATGGACTTGTGAGATTCATAGCAAACTCTGTGTTGGGGTGTGGGTGGCAGATGTTTGTTGGGGATTGAACCAGGGCCTCATGCATGTTAGACAAGGGCTCTACCACTAAACTATGTCCCCAGCCAACCACAGTAAGCTTTTGATAGCCAAGCGAGAAAGATTTTTTAAGTTTCAAGAGCTTGAAAGTTTTAAATACAAAAGTCAGTATTTACATCTTAAGCAAAAGATTCTGGAATAAATAAGTGAGGTGTTAGCCTCTCTAACCACTCCCTTTCCCCTACCCTCAACAGACTGAATAAAAGAATAAGGAATGGGAGCCAGGCACCTGCTACCTGCCAATCTCAAGTCAAGTCCCAGGTGGGAGTGAAGACAGATATTTCACTTCCTCCCTGGAACCTGGAAGGCAGCAATGATGCAGGTGTGCTTTCAGCCAGTGGCATGTTGGCAGTAAAGGAGAAAAAGTTGTATGCTGTATCCAGGCAAAGGAGGCATAAAAGGGTCTCTAAGTTTCCCCAGGGAGGCATGGAGACTGGAATACAGATATGCGTGTGCCCCACAAGAAACACAAGAAATGGATAAAAGGGCTGGGGCTGTAGCTCACTTGCCTAGCATATGTGAGGCACTGGGTTCAATCCTTAGGACTACATAAAAATAAATAAAATAAAAACATTCTGTCCATCTATTACCACAAAAAAATTTTTTTAAAAAAGAAAGAAAAATGGATGAAGGACAATGGTTGAATCCAAAGGACCAGAAGTCACAATGAGAAGGGTGCAAAATGACCACATGGCCCTAATGACTAGGAGTTCTGCGAATGGTTGCTGCCTACACTGCCCCCTTCCATAGACATTTCTTGCTTTACCTTGTATCTCCAGTGGCTAGCATAGAGGCTGATAAATGTTTGCTCTGTAAAATAATATAATAGGAATGGTGAAGCAGTAAAGTGTTACTATGAATCTGGGTACTATTTGCACCATTTTCCTTAATTCTCCATGTCAACAACCCTCAAGAACCACCAATAATAAAATAACTCTAACACCAGTACTCTGAAGAGGAAATATGACAAACAAATGATATGAATAGCGAATTTCAAACCCTTGAGGGCTATACCATCTGTGAGTACAAACAGAGACTAGACATAAACACCTCAAATATTTTTAAATAATATTTTATTATATTAGTCCTGCATATATTAATTTTTATGCCAACATTTTATATAATCAATAGGTCATAAATATATGGACAATTCCCTTGCAAATATAAATATTTAGCAGTTCAAACCAACCTCATGAACATGTAGCTATTGCTTCCTACAGACATGCGCCAGATCCTTGTCCCCATCCTTACCAACCCATCACACCCTACAAAGTCCCTCCCACACTCTCATTATAAATACATTTTCTACATTTCCAACTAGAGGAAACAGAGGCCTCTTTCCCCCAAAGAGATCCCAGGGAATGGCACTGGATCAAGGCAACTGTGTGACTAGGAGGTGGTCATTATATGACGTAAAGAGAGTGGGCCAAGGACTCCTTAAATTTCTTCCATCCATTGTTTGGGGGTCAAGACATTGGAACATGTCAGGACTATGTCATGATTCTAAAACACCCAGAAAGTTAACTCTACATTTAATACAGAGCTTTGAGAATTCCATGCAGACCTCAGTAAGAGCCCTAAGAAGTGAAGAAAATTGGGGATCAGACAGGACTTCAATAGCTTCCTCAGAAGAGTTGATGTACAGTTCTCAGGCCACGTGGTGGACGATGGGGGTGACACAGGTGCAACCAACAGTCACCCGCACTTTCTCCAGCCGGAAGGAATGAGAGCAGTCCTGAGGCTCCCTTCGAAGGACCAGGATCTCTTGCTGGATGGCAACCGAGTTCATGGAGTTATCTTCCTGACCCTGGGCATTGATGCAGCCCAAGTGTCTGCACTGGGCCTCTGCAATCTCAGAGGGGAACCGGTGGGGGTCCCTGGTGATGCTGCAAGAGTAACAAGCCAAAGTGAAATGGTGAGACCAGAGAAAGGAAGATGGACCATGGATAAGAGCCCGTAGCAGTGGGCTTTCACCTACAGGGGAGCAGCTCTGAGAAACACAGGTCCTGGAGCCAGGCAGCCTGAATTCATATGCCACCCTTGGGCAGTTAACTCCCTAAACCTGTTTACTCAATAATAAAATGATGATTCTCCCAAATCATTCTCTGGTGGGATTGTGGAGAACATTCAGCGATACAAATGCATATACAATACACCCCTACAATATTAGCATTCAATTAATGGTAGATCTTTGAGTTCATTTTTATTTGCATTATTATGATGATGATCATTGTTTATCCTTTACCTAGAGATTGAATATCACTACTAGATTTCCCAATATACAATCTATAAAGCCTGCTACTTGGAGGAAAAGCAAAGCCTTATGTCTGAATCCAGGGTCTTCTGCTAGTTTTTCTCTCAATAGTCCCTTCTGCCTGGAGGTATGAAGTCAGCAATCAGCCAGTTTGCCAAGGTACATTCTCCTCTTGTGAGGGGGATCTATGCTACGATTCCCAAAAACCTGAAACCTGTTTTCATGCTCATTTTTGGAGAGTAGTGGTGGTGCTTTGTGTTCCCAGGACCTATATCTTAGGACAAAACCACAAGACTATCACCAAAGGTCCCCACATCCACTTTCCAAAATGGCCTTTCTCTCCAACTCTTCCTTCATACCCATGCCTTGAGGACAATGTCAAATTTGAGTGGCTCTCCCCTAACTGACTTTTCTGGTTCCCATTTATCTTCATTTAAAGGATCCTTTCTTCCTACACAAAAAGTTTGTAAATTCCAACCTGGAACTGGATGAATCAAAAAAAGGCAGAAAGTCAAGGAAAAAGTGCAAGCAATATATTACCACCTTCAACCACAGAGGTAGACCTAACCCAAAACAGCAAGAAAAATTGGAGCTCCCAAGGAAAGTAGAACTTCTGTTGTTCAGACTGAATATGAGGGCTTTTTTTCTTCCATTTGTACATATTACAAATTTTCTACTTTATGATTAAAATAAATAACCATGTTTTCAAAAGGATGCAAAGATCTCTCTCCTGTGCACTTACTTGTAATCCCATGGGGAGATGGAGCGGTTCTGAAAGTCATGTGAAATGGCAATGCCCTGGTTTTGATTGAGGATGCGAATGTCAACCTTCACACTGTTGTCCTCCAGAGGAGGGCAGTTCCCAGGCTTCTGGAGGACAGGAGCCATTGCTTTGGGGTTTTTTCTAGCTGCTGCTTCCCTCAGAAAGGCAAACCCCAACATCAATAGCAGCAGACACTTGACCTGGAACATACAGAAGATTGCAGTTGGTTGGACTCTTGTGTCACTTGCAGGCATGAGACAATGCATGATCTACATGAACCAAGCTTTCTTGGTCCCTTAGTGAGATCAGGGCTTCTCTCTAGACCCCAAGTCTTCACCTGGAAATTGGAACAGTCATACTTGAAGATATTTGGGTGCCAAACAGAAAAGTAATCTCATTAGCCTAGCACTTGAAGCCCTGCATAGTTCAAAACCTTGTAAGCAGGGAGACAAAGAGATGTAAAGTCTGGGACTATGTTTAAATCTTGTCTTGGCTTCCCTATTAAGCCCCTGGTTTCTCCAGTTCCCAAATGTATGATAATACTCAGTTTATATGATTTATGTGAAGCCCATATATGTCTGTTAGACAAAAACACAGGCTTTAAAAATGACCACTTTTGTTTTTATTTCCAACCTCAGATCCCTCAAATACTCACAAAATCCTTCCTCCCAACCATCTGTCCTCTTAAAATTCACTGTCCCACCTCTATCTGTTGAATAATATCCTTCCATCAAGGCCCCACTCAGTTGTGGCTTAATTAGATGTTTACCATTATTAAATAATAATTTTACCATTCATCACTCTAGCAGCATTTTTATATTATCTAGAAATGTAGTATTTGTGTTCATGTAATATGTACACCCCTTAGATTATAACTCCCTGTATGATAATGGGCATAGTACAGGTGTTCCATAAATACTCTTTGAATAAATGAAGGAGTGGATGAGCAAATGAACAGAATTACACATTTAAATTAAACAATATGGTTATGCTTGATGCATTAAGAAAAACATTATGCAAAACCAACTATAGCAAAGTTCCAATTATCTGTGCTAATTGAAAGAAGCAGGGACGTTAATGATGCACAACAACAGAGAATATGGAAACTATTTCTCTTTTGCTCTGGAATGTATATTTTATACTATCAGCGATGTATCAGTTTATCTGGCATCATTGGAACACAGAGAAAAAAAGCATTCTGTGAAAACCAAACTAAAAGGAGAGCTAAAAATCTGACCATCTGGACAGCTTCCCTTTGGCATGACCATGATTTGTTCATCTGAACATCCCCACTGACCCTTATAGGGAATGGACAAGGTCTAAAATAATGCACAAGAAGAGTTAAACCTAGTTGCTTTCATTCTCTGGGCCCAATGTTGTTCAGGTTCACACTTTTCAGGTACAGCAAGTAATTAGACAGGTTGGTTTGAAAGTCTCTCTTATTCTTTTGCAGATGCTGAAGGCAAACAATGAAAAGAGTAAACCAAAAGTTCATGAACCAACTAGTTGTACTGAGGTAGCTGGTACTAAAAATAATTGAAAGCAAGGTGATCAGTAGTCACCTACTCTTGTTCCCCACAATCATTCACTCATTCAACAACTCTCTCTTAACTCTATGCTGTGGTGGCTCTAGAGTCAAATGTCCGGAGTCCATACAGGACTCTTATGACTGTGACACAGTTTCCTCCACCAGAAAATATTAAGATCGTGGGCTGGGGTTGTGGCTCAGTGATAGAGCGCTTGCCTAGCATGCGTGAGGCACTGGGTTTGATCCCCAGCACCACATAAAAATAAACAAATAAAATAAAGGTATTGTGTCCATCTACAACTTAAAAAAATAGAAAATATTAAGATCAAGTGCAATGGTCAATCAAAATGAGTTCTACCAGCACATGGTAAGTATTTGATATGGGTAGCAATAGTCAATACTGAGCTAATCCTACACAGTGGAATTTACTTTGTGCACCTCCTATTCTGACAAAGTGCTGTGAAGTTTTAAAAAAAAAAAAAGGATTCCAATTTATATCAAAAGGTCCTTAGATAGCTCCCCTAAAGTTAAGAAATTTTAGGTTTTTTAGTAAATTCCCTCTTTGAGTTTTCTCTTTCTCCTTGTGTACCATATTCACTGAATCACTTCTATTTTCATGATCAAGGCTGAAAGTAACTATACCTTAGGTTTATGTGATTTAGTAATAATAACCATGCTTCTAACAAGTCATTATTATTTTTACTTAAGAATTCTTATAGAATTTTAGGAAACATACTTTCACATCTCTTTAAATACTGGACATTAACAACTATGTTGTGAGTTACATAGCTAATATTAATTATCCCAATTAGGTGAAAGAGTTACATCTAAGAAGCAATAAATACCTTGATTGGATTCACCAGCCTTATTAGTGCCAGAGAGACTCCAACCTACATGTCAGTGGTTAGAACTATTGCCATTGAAGGTCATTATTACCAACATTGATCTTAGCTTTGTCTCACTAGAGGATCCAAGCATTTTAAACAATGTGAAAGCTATATTAGAATTGCATAAGTTTTATAGACCACATGGCTCTTTATCAGGAAATCAGATGATGTCTGCAAATCACTCTGATTGGCTCCATAAAGCTATAGATTTAGTTGTAGATTTATGCAATACAGAGCAGAAACACTGATAAGGCTGTTGCTGGTTTTTATTTTGTTTTTGTTTTTCCAATACTAGGGACTGAACCTAGGACCTCAAGTGTTCTATCAGTGAGCTATATCTGCAGGCCTTTTTTTTTTTTTTTTTTTTTGGTACTAGGGATTGAATGGGGGGGGGCACTTAACCACTGAACTACATCCCTATTCCTTTTTATTTTTTATTTTGAGACAGAACCTCACTGTATTGCCCATGGTGGTCTCAAATTTGTTCAGCCTACTGAATAGCTGGGTGCAAAGGCCTGTACCACAGCACACAGCTGTTGTTCATTCTTAGCAATAAAACAAAGAGCACTTCTTCCCAGAAAAGTTCAGAGCACTTTATAAACTTGAATTTCTATTGTCACTTACAAAACAGGTAAATAAATATCACTCTCATTCTGTAGAATGAGAATGCTCCTGCTGAAGGTGGGCAGTAACAGGACATGTCCATCCTCAGCCTGCCTTGGCACCTCACTCTAGCCCAGCAGAGAGCCCATCTGAATTTTCCCCAGTCTCATCTACAGTTTATACCCACCCCATGTAGGAATGCCCTACAGAAGCTGGCCAGCTAGTAGGTCCATGAGAATTTGTGCTTGCCAAATCTTTCAACATCTAGTCCAACTCCAAAGCCTCTTGCACTGTCACGTTTCTTGCTAACAATCCATCAGATTTCTTCAAAGAAACCAGAAATAGAAATGGCTTAGGAGAACAAAACTACCTAAAAGATTTTCTTGGACACAGTAGCTTTAAATTTAGCAATCTTGCCTCTGAATCTTTCAGAAAGAAGCATACTGTATTTGGAGCCAGAAAACTTATATTTATGTTTCAGTTCTTGTGAAATCATTTCACTGAGCTTTTGTTCATTTACATAATGAAGAAGTAATTCCCATCTATTTAGAGTCTTGGGTTAATAATAATAATACCAATTAACACTTATTGAATGCTTTCTCTATCTTTACTATTGCATGATACAAACTATCCAAAAGCTAAGCATGCAAAGATCTTCCACCACAAAGTATAGATTCATTTACTCTCAATGATATCAGCTAATCCACACACACACAAAAAAAAATGCTATAAGGTAAATGCCATTATTATTCCACTGTACAGTTAAGAAAATTAAAGCATAAAGAGGCTAACTAACTAACCTAAAATGCCACATTTATCCAGCAGGGGAGTGGGTCTGACTGACTCCAAACCCTCTAGATACTGCATTTTCCCACATTTCTTGTAATCCCTAAAATAATACACAAATATAAAATAAAAGTGTTATCATTGCCATATGCCATGAACCTTTTATGAAATCCAACCTCTTTTAAGTTGCACAGCTTTTAAAAGGAGAATAAAAGAGGGATTATCTAGGCCAATAACATGGTGCCTGATTTCCTAAGCCTTATTTTCATGTACTTCCATATTAAATTCTTCCCAGGCTTTATCTGGCTAATGTCAGGCATTGGCAGGAGTCCAGACACAAGAGAAGGGGATATATTTCCATCACCTTAACCTCCCTCTGACTATCAGAGGAACAAGACAATGGAAAAAAACAATCTGCTATCAGAAACACAGGAAATTTCTGTCCTCCAGGAGCTGTCCAAAATTCATCACTGGGTGTTTCATTTCTCCTCCAGGATGCTCCTGTGCTCTTGGAAGGATCACAAAACCACCCAGCTTCCTTGGGTAAAATACATACGTACATGTCCCCTAAAGGACTGGCTAAGCTCCCCCCATGAGATAAGAGTTTTAGGCCAACCTAACTCTATCATGAGTGATCACCAGAGACCATGCCTGTCATCTGTGTACCAAGGACTGCACATGCTAATGTGACCAGGGCAACCTGGTAGCTGATTATTAAAAAGAAAATGTATAGATAACACCCACCATCATCCAGTTGCTAACAGCCTCCAGGGGAGGGGAAGGAGCACACTTTCCAACACAAGCAATCACCCCCTGGACAGCTCTCTTCTTGACTTTTGGTCACTCTCACCTTTCAGTCAGGAAGGCATGAGAAGAAAGGAAACCTAAAATCTACAAAGGGGCAAGACACTCCCACTGCCTTGGGCACCAGCTCTGGACCCTCTCTTTTCTGGAGGAGTCTCTCTCTCTCTCTCTCTCTCTCTTATTCCTTAAATAAAACATATTGTCTTCCCTCAGCATTTCTTGGGTGTTTGATCTTCAACACCAGGAGAACAAAGACCTGATTCTGATTTTCAAGACCAGTTTCACTAACACCACTGGGGCTAAAATCATCAGGCAAGAAGTTATGTTTTACACCCCACTATAAGTTTTCTAATTATTATTTTCTTTCTCTCCACCAAGGAAGAATCAAAATTAAAGTCAGCTTTGAAGAAGAAAAAGAAGGAGGAGGAGGAATTTTTTAAAGACTCTAATGAAGGCTAACTCTAGAAATGTGCTTTTCTGAAATCCTAGGAATACTTACCCTTAAGCTTGAGTTATTGCTACTCACCATGGCTTTATCATGTAGGCTCTTCATTATTTCCCTTCAGTTGCTTGCTTTGTGCAGGAAACAAGTCTGGTCTCCCTGGGTATGCCTGTGTGTGTCAACAGGAGTACCTGTCGGTTTTATAGCAATCACTGT